CGTTCATAAATATAATTTACATAAGTGGATTCATCTTTTACATTTTTTTCATATAGCATCCTCTGGACAAATTTTTCACTCTCCAAAACAATGTACTATTGTTTCTTATTTTGAAGAGAGAAAATAGTTTGAGAAGGTTATTCAATATGTTAGATTAATGTTTTTGTATGAGATTTGATCTTGGGGCATGACATGGGAGTTAGAAATTTAAATATTTTGTTTGATGTTTCTTGATTATCAAATTCTTGTTTCTTGGGAGTTGGAATCTTTTATTCATATTGTGTTATATATCCCTCTTTCTTATGCAGTTCAAACCGATATCCATAAATTGTCTAAGCCGAAAGTAATATACATGTTGAGATATATAACATTATTCCAGTCACGACTACAAAAGCAAAGAAACCAACAAGTGGCATCCACATGTAGCCAACACAGCTATTATGAAGTGGCTGAGCATGACCTATTCAAAGGGTCCAGGAATGGTTGACCTTGACAAGTGCACCAATGACACTTAAGCTATAGTAGTAAGCCACAAGTACTCTAAAGGTTTTGATCAACTTTAATTTGCTTGCACTAGATAGTATCACTCATCTACCTCCATTCAAATCATACCACCACACTGACACCTACTAAATAGCATTTGGACAGTAATTCTTCATTCAAAATAAAAGAATCATTAATACTCCATATAACAAGGAAAAAGCATAAAGTCATTAATAATGACCAAAGTTTTTGTCACAAATATCGTTTTTTTTGGTAAGAAGTTGATAATCACCTTCAAATTCAAATAATGTCTCGAGCATTCAAGATTGGTTTAACAAGTGTCCAACGCCAAGTTTCTGTTCTTCGAGTGTAAGTGATTTGAGGTACTGAACAACTTCATCAGTAAGAGGACCTTCCGAACCTTGAACACCACCAGTAAGAAGAGGAGATCCCGAAACTTGAACACCTTGCAAACCAACAAGGAGATTTTGTAAATCACCAACAGTAACAGGAGCTTGATTATAGGTGACATTGATAGGGCCAATAAATTTAATCGTTAAACCACCCTGCCTAATGGTAAGTCCACCACCAGGCACAAGAGTAATTTCGACTGGTCCCGCAAGAGTAATTTCGATCGGTCCGGTCATAGTCAACGTTCCTCCACCACTACCGACGGAACCACCGTTCTCCATCGTTGACACCTTTTCTGATCAAAGTTTAATCAGAAATTTCTGAGGCATGGATTTTATAGTTAGGTCTAATATTAGGGCAACAGCTAAATGGCCTTTGATTTAGCCCTTTAATGGGGAACTGAAACGCTTTTTTTTTGGTTTTTGGGTCAAAACGTTAGAATATTATTATTCAAAACTCCATCAATAAGAGTATCAAGAGCAAAGAGAGCTCTTTTAGCAATCGAATCAACCACAAGATTGGTTAATCGAGGTACACAATTACTCCATTGTATCATTTTAAATGATTTTTAAAGATGTTATACATAAATTAAGAAAACTTTAAATTTTTTAGTTTTTCTACATTAAAATATCATTTATCATTTAATTAAATACAATTCAACCGATAGTAAATCAAACTGCGAAATACAAATAGTCAAAATAAATAAAAATGCATTTAATTTTGTCTTGAAAATTAAAAAAAAAACATCTAATTTGATACAAAAAAAAACCTCTAGAAAATCATCTAATTTGGTACCGAATGAGTAAAAGAAATCAAGTGGAAAGTGCTTGCAATCAATACGATATCAAATAAGATGCCATGTAGCTCATTGTGATCAGTCCCTTTGTTGAGAAAATTAATCAAAACATGGGAATAAAAAAGATATGGAGGTCAGAGAGACCTCGTTCTGAAACGGGTTTATGTTTGGGAAATTAGGAGGAATAACATTACAAGTTAGAATCTTCATCTATTTTTTTCTTAGATTTGGCATCTTTTGCTGCATTCTTGTCTTTGGTTTGGTTAATTCGGTCTAAGTTCTCAACATGATTGTTCAAGTTACAAGTTCACAGTGTTGAAAGTTTCATATTTGCGATACTTGTGAGTTATGGTTTCGTATTGCAAATTTCTGTACATACTGTGTGCCATATATCCAACTTTGAGCTTTGTATTGAGATATCTTGTCTTTAGGTTTGGGATCTTGATGGGCAAGATAGGCTAAGAATCTCTCTCATGAAACATGTTATCCAGGTTACATGTTACATGAGCTATCCAGGTTAGGATCTACAAAGCTCGGTCATACTTGTGTTTGCAAACAAACATGTGCTTCTTCTTCTTCCGCAAAATGGGTCAAGATTGTGGAATGCGCGAACTGGAAATTGGTTATGCAAAATTTCTCATTTGAAAGCTTTCGAGCTCATAACATAATAAACCCTAAAAAGCTTTAAAGACTTAAAGGTAATTTATACAAACCAAAGTCACCTGTTTTCCACAATCACGAGAAACAACTCCAACGATGCCTAATGACCAAGCTAATTCATGCGCTAACCATATTTCTTAAGTTGGGGTTGGTCCAAGCGGTCCAAAATCTTGAAATGGCCAAACCTACACATCATGTAAAACCATAATTTAGCCAAACTGATTACCAAAACAAATGAACAAGCCGAAAGCAGTAAAATCGACTACTCTGTGTCACAAGATCGTATAGAGAGAGAAAATAAGCTTATACCCTCCAAAGCACTCTGCCTTGAATAAGACTGTAAGGTATAGGACCAAAGGTTCTCGAGTCTCTTGAGTTATGAGTATAGTCACCTTGAACCCAAACATGTCCTTTAGGCACCTAAAAACAACAAAAAAATGTCAATAGAATCAAATTGCCATAAATCCAACAAACTAACATCTCTATTGCCAACAACAAACCAAAACTAAACCATCAAAAGGAAATTTTTATGTGCATGAATAGCATTAATATTGCTCTTAGTGTCAAATCTAAAGATTCAAAAATTTAAAGCTTCCAAGACTCTCAACTTATGATAAAGCTAATCGCTCGAATTCTGCATATCGTGTCTTATTTCCAGGCACACGAATTCGCATAAACGTTTCTGAGTCAATGCTTAGTATCAATTCTAAAGATTCAGAAAGTTCAAAGCTTGCAAGACTCTTTAACTTACATCTAAGCTAATTATTGATGTGAAGTTTCAAATCGAGCTCGATACTCATCAACGCCAACATTTTCGAAATCGAAATAAACCCAGTTCCCAAACAATGTATCTATCTGTTCCAAATTTGATTCATAAAGCAAGATCAAAGAGTAAGTAACAACATACCACAATGGTTTGTGATTTATCATTCTTCTCAGGATCAATCACAAAACTTATACAATCTCCTTCAATTCCAATTACCCTCTTCATCGGAGTCTTTGTAGGATTTTCTGGAGATCGAAACACAACTATGTCTCCACGAATCGGTTTCTGAGACCGGTTCGAGATTCTCTCTGCTAATACAAAATTACCCGAAGGATGAAGCGTCGGATTCATGCTCGGACCAAAAGCCTACTCC